AACAAACATTGTTATAACCAACTACTGCATGCCCTATGGCTTACCTGAGCTTTCAATCCCATTTTATGAAGCTTTCGTCCCTTGATGAATCCTTTCATCCCATTTTCCACTAGGAAAAGGCTAATACCATGGGCAGGAGAGCGAGCTTCACGGTTTGTAACAGCAACGACTATCACTAAATCACTCATCCACCCATTAGTAATGAACACCTGTATAAAAACACATAACATTGTGAGAGATGATCTCTGAGGATCTCTCAGGGTATAATCACTCATCCACCCATTAGTAATGAACACCTGTATAAAAACACATAACATTGTGAGAGATGATCTCTGAGGATCTCTCAGGAGTGAAGCCTCCTCAAAGAGTTAATCGTTTGACCTTGTAAAGAAACATGCTTTTTAACACATCCTGTACTTTACCGGACCCTCCCCCTTCCCAAACTTATTTTTAGGCACATAGCAGGAAGGAATAACAACCCCCCCCTTCTAAAACTGCTTGCTCACTCTTGCAAAAACTTCCCACCTTTTTCTTGTCTCCAGGAAACTATTTTTTTTTCTTTCTTTGTTCTCTGTTGCTGGGGTAGACTTTCTGAGAATAGATTGTGCCCTCAAGGCTTGCACCAATGAGCTGAGAGGAAGGCGGTTAGGAGGAGGAGTTGCAGTTAAGAATCTATACAATCTGTCTTTGTTGAGCACACCCTGGCACTCTCCCAGCAGAGCCATCTTATGCAGACGGAGGGTGCCCTTTCTCGAGAAAGCTGATAAAGAAAACTTTCTTTTTGCTAATATCTCTGAGTCTCTGATTTATTGGTAAGGGTCTCTGTATCCCACACAACATCAAAATACTTTATGATGCTCCAAAGAGCTTGGCCTAATAGCCAATAAGACCTGAGTTCAAGCCTCTCCACTGACATACCAGCTGTATGATCCTGGAAAAGTCAAATTAATCTCTTAGTCAGTGCTCTAGACAACTCTCTAAATTGCAGCAAAGGGGTCAATCTGCACTGGCAGGAATTCCCTATGCAAATGAAATCACAGGTCCAGTCTTTTTTCCAAGTCTGTGTGCTGAAAAGGAAGACTGCTATTTCATTCAGAAGAAGCCAAAGGCATGCTCCCCACTTCTTCAGCTAGAGTCAGCTAAACAACAATAGACTTCATTTCTCAGAAAGGAATGTAAAGGAAAAGTGTCTCTCAATATTTGTTCTGCTAAGACTGTAAAAAATGACAAGCAGCACACTCTGTTATCAACCCCAAAACAGTTATCCATTGGACAGTTAGAAACCAGCCTAGAATGAAATACCACTGAAGGAGCTCGAGGCAAAGCAACATCACAGGACTGTGGCATACACATAACAATATTTAAAAGATCAATTCTGTGTAATTCAACAAGTTCTTACTGCTAATCTTCTATGTCCCAAGTGGGAATATGAGGACCAAAAAAAAGGCTGAAGATCACTGGCCTGTTCTCCCTGAGGATACACATATAAATAAATACAAAGTGTGCAAAAAATAAATACAAAGTAATTTGGATATGGGAAGGGAGAGGGAGCACTCCCAATTCATGAATCAGGAAAAGTCTCTTATAGAAGGTGGTTCTTGAGTTAAGTCTTATGAAGAAGTGAGCATTACAGAAAAGAGGTGGACAGTAATGCACAAAGGAAGATCAATTAGGCCAGTCTGGCTAAAGTGAGTGAGAGTAGAACCCTGTATTTTTCTCTTCCCAGTAGTACATAAAAGTATGCGATAAAAACAAAGAACAGAACTTGTCACCAGTCAAATCACAATAATAACTTACACTTCTATAGGGTTTTACAGTTCACAAAGTAATTTCATGCTCATTACCTCCTTTAATTGTTACAATAACCCTAGGAGACAGTTAAAGAAGAAAGAATCACAGATTTAAAGCTGGAATATACATACCTCAGTTGAAGAAACTGAGGCCAAGAGAGGTTGTGTTTTCCCCTAACTCACACAAGGAATAGGCTTCATGAACAAGAGTGGACCCAAATGCTGACTCCAAATCCAGCTATTGATCCAGGATCCACCTTGCCCATTAGTCTTATTTCACAGATGGTGGAACTTCAGAGTGCCCAGGCTAATTAACAGCAATAGTGCTAACAGAACTTGGGTCCTCTGACTACAAACCCAGGGGTCTTTCCAATTTGCTGCTTCTATTTAATTAGATACAATTCAACAAATATGCTATTGGATTCCCACTTCAATTTTCAGCCTAATTTCCTGAGAAGGGCCCCTAAAAGCCTACCTGCCCTTTAATGCCACACAAAAGAGTTCTACTGTATTTTACAAAGGCCAATTAGGAAGGCATATTACCTTCAGAGAAGAGTCCTCCATTTGGCCTGGGGTGAGCAAGAGCTCAGTGACTTAGGCATTTCATCCCACTTCAAATTATGTCAAATCTCCTGTATCTAGACAGATACCTGTCCGTAATAGGTAGGAGCATATTAGAGATGGATCCTAAAAGACACACATAATTCTAGGACTGAGAGGCAGCCAGTGCAAAGATGAAGAATCAGGAGATACAATGTCATGTGTGTGAGGGATGGACAAAAGGTCAGTTTAGAGGGATCTCAGCTTAAAAGCAGGGAAATAATAGTGTAAGATAATGTTGAAAGGTTAGTACAGTGCCTGGCACATAATAAGTACTTAATAAATGTTTATTGATTTAGTAATTAAAGGAGTAGGTTGGGGCCATGTTATAAAGGGATTTAGATGACAAAGAAAGGTGTTTAGGAGATGAAATCAAAGAATGGATCAAGTAATAAAGCATATGGCATTAAATATACATAAATTAGGAGTAATAAGCAAGAACAAACAACCTTAACACAAGCAGGTAAATGTGACCTCAGAGCAATCACTTGAACTTTGGTGGAATGGGACTGACTAATGGAATACAGCTCTAGAAAGATACACTGTACTTTATTCACAAGGCACAAAACTGACAGAAGCAGCTAGGAGTTATAGTGGATAGAGCCCGGGGCTCTATTAGGTCAGGAAGACCTAAGTTCAAATCCAGCCTTAGATACTTACTAGCTGTGTAACCCTGGGTTAAGTCACTCTGTCTGCCTTAGTTTCCTCATCTGTAACATAATACATGACATATACAATATAAAAATATCTTAAAATTTATACTTTATATAAAACAGATTTTTTTTAAAAAAAATACAAATACAATAAAGCAAGAGAGTCCCTGTCATCAAGGAATTTATATTCTAATGGGGAAACAACACATATGGAAGCTGAAAAGAGAGTAAGAGTTAGAAATTGGACTGAAATTGGTTTGACTAGAAGGGCTAGGTTTTACAAACCTTGCTGCCATTGAGAATCCAGTCACTTCCATCTCTCTTGGCATTTGTTCTTATGCCCTGTAAGTCACTGTAATTGGTAAGAAAGAGGAAAAAAAATAAAGGAAACTAACATCACCACCCAGTAAAAATCCAGCAATAAAAACAATACTGAAATAACTGGCTATAAAACAGGAGAGGCGATTAATAACTAAGGTGAATTTAAACATATCTTTAAAATGCTTTCTCAGGGCATAAAGAAAAACACTGTCAACTTTACATTACAAAAATTATAAGCACTGCATCTTCTGTTGCATTCAGAAGGATATATATATATATGTATGTATGTATGTATGTATGTGAGTATACATATACATAGTAATGCACAAATCAGAGCTGACTATGAAAATAGGAGAAAATGTGTATAAGGCATATTAGTAAAGCAGGAAAAACTTCTTTTTTGGCTCTGTACCCCCACCCCAGCACCAGGGCAGTGCTTGTCACACAGTAGGTGCATAAATGACAAACGACTGATGGCATGATATGAAAGCACTTCAATAAGACCCGAGTTCAAATCCGAATTCTGACACTCAGAAGCTGTGTGAGCCTGGGCAAGTCACTTAACCTCTGTTTGTCTCAGTTTCCTCAACTGTAAAACAGGGATGTATAATAGCAGAGTTTAGCACAGTCTTCCCAGAAGCAGAGCCCCCGGTATGCTTGACCATGCTGGGCAAGATTGAGAAGTTTAAGGCAATACAATAAGTAAAGGGAGACAAAGGAAAGAGCACTAATTTTCCCCCTTTTATTGGTATGAATGTGTTAAATGAATGAATGTGTTGAATTAATGGTTAAAAGCCAAACCAAAACCAAAGGTCTATGGAACAAATGTCTACTTCTGCCACGTCACTGAACCAGGCAGAACCAAAGCCCAGCAATCGTGCATGATGTGATGCTCCTTGCCTAAGGCGAGTCCAGCATTTCACCACAGTGTAGGTAGTGAGGCCTGACTCAATAGTATTCTGTTATCCAGGGGTTAATGACTATATTTTCACTGCCCCAAAGCAGGAGGAAGCATGATAAAAGGGGGAGAGGGGTTTCAATGTGGGATCTGCCTGACCTTCGCAGAGGGGGAGATAGCCTCAGGCAGATGACAGGAATTCTAAACCAGCAGAGACAAAGTCAACATGAACATTTTACTTAAGTACAAATCTGACGATGTCACGCTACCCTGCTGACTCAACCCCAGCGGCTCTCTATTACCTCTAGTATAAGATACAAACACCTCTATTTAGCATTTAAATCCCTTCACAACACGGCCCCAACTTACTCCTTCAATTACTCAATCAATAAACATTTATTAAGCACTGGCTCTGTGCCAGGCACTGTGCTAACCTTTTGGCATTATCCTGTGCTACTAGTTCATGCTAAGATCCAGCCAAACTGACCCTCTGTCTGTCAGACACTCTGTCTTTGCGCCGGCTGTCTCTCAATCCTGGAATACACTCCATCCCTCCCTCCTCCTCCGAGTCCATTACTCTTTCCTTTAAGATACAGTTTAAGCAACACCTTCCCAGATCCCCTCAGCTGCTAGTGCTGCCCTCTCTTTCATACTACACTATATTAAACTATATGAATGAGGGATTCATGCTCACAGGGTTGTTGTGAGGATCAAATGAGATAACATTTATAAAGCCCTCAGCACGGTATGTAGCACATTTGTTGCTTCTAGTGTTTGGTTATTCAGTTGTGTCCGACTCTTTATGATGCCGGGAACCGTAACACTCCAGTGCTATCCATGGGGTTTTCTTGGCAAGGATACTGGAGTGGTTTGTCATTTCCTCCTTAAGTGGATTAAGATGAAGAGGGTAAGTGACTTGCCCAAGGTCACAGAGCCCATGTCTAAGACCAGATTTGAACTCAGTTCTTCCTGACCATTTCTATTCAAGTCTGATACCATTGGTATAGTGGATAGAGTAACAACTTGGAGTCAGGAAGACCTGGGTTCAAATCTTGTCCTAGACACTTACTAGTGTGAACCTGGTCAAGTTAGTTAAGCTCAGAAGGCCTCCATTTCCTCATTTTACAAATGAGGGGTTAGACTCAATGGCCTTGAAGGTTTCTTCCAACTCTAAATCTATGACAATAAATGCCTGCTGACTGAACAGCATTATTAATTTTGGAGTAAATTTATGGTTTGTAATCATAGCTTACGGCAGCCAGCTGGCACAGTGGATAAAGTGGTGGGCCTGGAGACAAGATGACTCATCTTCCTGAGTTCAAAGCTGGCCTCAAACTGGCTGTGTGACCCTGGGCAAGTCACTTAACCCTGTTTGCCTAAGTTTCCTCATTTGTAAAATGACCTGGAGATGGAAATGGCAAACCATGAGTATCTTTGCCAAGAAAACCCCAGATGGGGTCACAAAGAACCAGATGTGACTGAATGATTCAACAACAACAAATCATAGCTTTATAGCTAAAGAAGAGAAACACATTTTCCCAAGTCATAAATCAGGTACTGAAGTATAGTTGTTTTCACTCAACAAACCTGATAAAACAATAGACCCTGAAATTCTTGGCAAACAAAGGTCATTTTCTGGCAAGACTGCTAAGAATATCCAAACAAAATTCATCAAGCTTACCTTCCTGCCCCAGGTTCTGTCATAGCTATGGCCCCAATACACTTGCCTGTAGTCATCTCAGGGATAAATCGTTTAATCTGTTCTTCTGATCCATAGTTTGTAATATAGGGCATAACGATGTCTGAATGAAGACTAAATCCAGGGCCTGTACAATTTGAGTATGCTCTTAGAAAGTAATGGGGTAAGGGTGGGAGAGGGGAGGAGAGCAAGAGGAAAAAAAAATTTAATGGGTTACATTCTTCATGGTTGGGGGGGAAGTACCCCATTTAGAACAACCTAATATCCTTCCCTATTTCTTGATATTGTATGGGTACCACTAGGCTATCCCTCCCTCTCTTACTCTATGACTAGACTATTTTTTTTTTCTTTAACTCTGGTCATATTTTTGAAAAAAATATGAAGAGTTTTTTCTTTAAAGGATCAAATGTCAGCCTTATAAATAGACTTTCATGAATATTTGACTAAAGTATTTTAATAACTATTTTCAACATCTACAGATTGAGCAATTTAAAAGACACCATCTCCTTTCCTGTCCTCTCCCCATTTCCATAGCTCCAGTGATTTAATCTGAATTTTCAGGCTTCAAAGGAAAATACAGCATTAATGTCTGAAAATAGTTGAGAAGGGGCGGGGCCAAGATGGTGGAGTGAAAGCAATGACTTGCTTGAACTCTCTCCCAAACCCCTCCAAATACCTGTAAAAAAAATGGCTCTAAACAAATTCTAAAGCAGCAGAACCCACAAAAAGACAGTGTGAAACAAATTTACAGCCCAAGACAACCTGGATGGTTAATAGGAAAGGTATATCGCGCCAGGCTGGGAAAGGAGCACAGTTCGGTGTGGGTGCGCAGACTGCAGCAAACCTGGAGCAGGCCTCAGAGGACTGAATCACAGGCAGCTGTGGTGGTTGCCAGACTGCTCAACCCATGAACGCCAAACACGACTTAGAAGGTCAGTGAGAAAAGTCTGTTTCTGCAGTGAGAAAGAGGAGCTAGGTCTCAGCCACAAGTCCCGAGCTTGCCTCCAGGGCAGTGGCTGCCTCCTGATTTTCCAGCCCACAGACTGAGGGGGAATCCAGTGGCTGTTCAGAGAGGGATTGCAAGGATCTCTTTGCCAGTGCTGAGGCAAGAATCTCTTGCTTTACCAGTGCTTGGATCTGGGTCACAGTTCTGAGGGGCGGTCCTGGGGTGAGGAGGAGCGCTGACGTGGTGGAGCTTGTTGTGGCGGTGGAGAGGAAACACCTTGCCCCTTATCATACCACCTTGGAAGAGCTGATACTTTTCAGGTCCCTAGAAGTATCTCTGAAAACAGCTGTACAAACCCCCGAACCTTGGGACAGTACATTCTCCACATTGGAAGCAGACTCTTACCTTAACAAAGAGTTTAAAATTCAAGTAATTGGCTGAGATCATGAATAAGCAGCGCAAAAAGAGTCAGACTACATTATGTTACTTTGGTGACAAAGAAGATCAAAACATACAACCAGAAGAAGACAACAAAGTCAAAGCTCCTACATCCAAAACCTCCAAGAAAAATATTAATCAGTCCCAGGCCTTGGAAGAGCTCAAAAGAGATTTTGAGAAGCAAGTAAGAGAAGTAGAGGAAAAACTGGGAAGAGAAATGAGAGTGATGCAAGAAAATCATGAAAAACAAGTCAACAGCTTGCTAAAGGAGACCCAAAAAAATACTGAAGAAAATAACACCTTAAAAAATAGTCTAACCCAAATGGCAAAAGAGGTCCAAAAAGCCAATAAGGAGAAGAATGCCCTGAAAAGCAAAATTGACCAAATGGAAAAGGAAGTCCAAAAGATTACTGAAGAAAATACTTCCTTAAAAATTAGAAGAGCAATTGGAAGCTAGTGACTTTATGAGAAATCAAGACACTGTAAAACAAATCCAGAAGAATGAAAAATTAGAAAACAACGTGAAATATCTCATTGGAAAAACAACTGACCTGGAAAATAGATCCAGGAGAGAGAATTTAAAAATTATTGGACTATCTGAAAGCCATGATCAAAAAAAGAGCCTAGACATTATCTTTCAAGAAATGATCAAGGAAAATTACCCTGATATTTTAGAACCAGAGGGCAAAATAGAAATTGAAAGAATCCACCCATCTCCTCTTGAAAGTGATCCCCAAAGGAAAACTCCTAGGAATATTGTAGCCAAATTCCAGAGTTCCCAGGTCAAGGAGAAAATATTACAAGCAGCCAGAAAGAAACAATTCAAGTATTATGGAAATACAATCAGGATAACACAAGATTTAGCAGCTTCTACATTAAGGGACTGCAGGGTATGGAATATAATATTCCAGAGGGTAAAGGAGATAGGATTACAACCAAGAATCACCTACCCAGCAAAACTGATTATAATTCTTCAGGGGAAAAAATGGTCATTCAATGGAACAGAGGACTTTCAAGCATTCTTGATGAAAAGACCAGAGCTGAATAGAAAATTTGACTTTCAAATACAAGACTCAAGTGGAACATGACGAGGTAAGGAATATCTAGCCAAGATCTGATTCAGATCTGGAAGTTGCTGGTCATCAGACAGCTCTGCAGTTGAACCTATAAGACCTCGGCATATGAGAGTATGTCTTACAGATTAGGGTGCTTTAATTTCCTCAGCTCTTATTATCTTGGAATGAACTTCTTTGTTTTCTAATAAACCCTCAAAAATATCAACACTCCAGCCCATTGAGGTTTTCTGCAAAGTTTCAAGGTCATCTTTCATTTTTTTTTTTGCATTATACCTTTGTAAAGGCAATAGGAGTAGCTTTCCTATGTTTTAAAAGGTATTTTGCTTCTTCATAGGTCTTTGGGAAAGGGTCAAACTTCATGATATTATTAAAAAGCAATTTTAGACCATGATATCTGCAGCTCTCACTGCAATAATGTGTGGGAATCCCTCCATTAATTTCTCTTGCACTGCTTTCAGGTTCATCATGTTCTTGCTGTATCAGCAAACTAAATACTCGTATCCTTTCTTCTCCAAGATTTCATGTATTTTAGAGTGCCTATTTCAATGCTTCATTAAAAAAACTTGTTCAGGTAAAAAAAAAAAATAGTTGAGGAGACAATGTGTCCTATGTAGTGGAAAAAGCACTGGACTGGAAACCAGGGAGCCTAGGTCGGAAGTATAACTTCATCACCAAAGGCAAGTCACATAGCACTCTAGGTCTTAGTTTCCTTATCAATAAATAATGGGATTACATTAAATAATCCCTAAGGCCTTTTCCAGCTCTGGTACACTGTGATTTATTATTCATCACAGAAAGATCAATCAACATACTTAGTAAATAAAAATGCAGTCAACACTTACTGTTCCTCCCAGACAATGGCTGAAGAAAATAGGTCTCCACCAATACCACCATGTTTCTCTGCAATGTTGATACCTAGCAGTCCTTGTTTTCCAGCTTCTTTCCAAAGTTCCCTACTTACTTCTCCAGCTTTCTCCCACCTGCAAATTGAAGAGAGTTAAGAATTAGAGAACTTCTCATTTTCCAGATTGGTAGGCCTTCTATTTTACTTATCTTCTAATGGAAAAAGTCAATCGGTGCCATGACTGACACCTTATACAATCACTGGTGATGTCTTCCCCTATTCTTTATTTTTTTCCTTCTCTCCTCTCTTTCCTCTTTTCCTGTAGAGATGTTAGGCCTGACTAGCACCCAGCAGGAATAACAGGCAATGAATGCTTGGACCTGTTGATAATCCGTGGAGTTAAATAATGCGCTGCTCTTGTGCCTGGAGATTGAGCATCCCAGGATGGAGTCCCAAAGTGGGACGGGCCTGAGAAAGTGACTGGGCAGGCAAAAGCAGGGAATCTTGCTCTATTGTTCTTCCAGCTGGAGAAAAGGAAGACAAGTGAATGCCCAATATGTCTTCCAAGAAATGCACCCTGAGAAATCAAGGCATTTACTTATGACTTAGGTTAACTAACACAGTTGCTAGTGGTGTTATGTACTAACTCTATTTCTTTTTCTTGGGTCAAGGGAAGTCCCACCAATCCTTATCATTTAATAGAAAATCAAGAGGTATCTATCACTTGGGGAACAGGTGAACAGCCTGACAGAGAATATAATGAAATATCATATGAAAAGATGAAATAGGTGGTTTCAGAGTAAACTAGAAGACTTCTAGAAACTGGTGCAGAGAAGAAAATCTGTAGGACAGCTTACACAATGACAACAACTTTGTAGAGACAAACAGCTTTGAAAGACTCTTCTTATCGATGCATTTTTCTTTCTTTTTAATTTAATAGTATTTTATTTTTCCTAATTACATGTACAATTTTAAATATTCAGGTTTTGAAAGATTGAGTTCCAAATTTTTCTCCCTCCTTCCTTCCCCTCTCCCCTGCCTAAGCTAAGACATCAAGCAATCTCATTTAGGTTATAAATGTGCAATCATGTAAAACTTATTTCTACATTAGTCATGTTGTGAAAAAAGAAATAGAACAAAAAGAAAAAAAAATCACAAAAAACCCCAAAAGTAAAAATAGTATGCTTTGATCTGCATTAAGATTCCATCAGTTCTTTCTCTGAATGTGGATAGCATTTTCTATCAAGAGTCTTTTGGAATTATCTTGGATTGTCAATGTATTTTTCAACCACAATTTCAGAGGACTAATGGTGAAATAAGTTGCACACCTCCTCGCAAAGACTCAAGGTGCAAAATAAGACATGCATCTTTGAACACTGCAAACTTGTAGCTGTTACAATTATTGTATTTTTTTTTCTATTGGAAGAAGGGGGTGAGTTAACAATGAGGTTGCCCTCCCCCTCCAAAAAAAAAAGCAATAAAAATGGATCACTGAAGTATTTTATATTTAAAGATTTCATATTTAAATAAGCTGAAAAATGTGTCTTTTTAAAAAAAAAAGGCACTTGAAGGTAATTAGGAAAGAGGACACCAGTTTGAAGGCCTCAATTTAAAATGTAAAAGTGGATGCTATCAGGAATTTACAAAGAGAAGGCTTAAGAATTGGGTGGTAGTCTAGAACTTACAACAGCTGTTAGCATTCTTTCCCTTTAGTGACTCACCAGGAACATTACTATCAAGTATATGAGTCAAGGAACAGATAAAAGTCTGATATCACTGCTATACAGTGTGTATAATTTATAGTGAAGAAACTCTCTATTAATGCAGGTCAGCACCAGCTCTGTAACCTATGGTCTTTAAGAATTGTCTAGCAACAACGATTCTGGAGAGCAATTTGGAAGTATGCCGAAAGGGCTATAAAACTATGCATGCCCTTTGATCCAGCAATACTACTATTAGGTCTGTAAGCCAAAGAGATCATACAAATGGGAAAAGGACCCTTATGTACAAAAATATTTACAGCAGTTCTTTTTGTGGTGGCAAACAACTGGAAATTAAAGGAATGCCCATCAATTGGAGAATGACTGAACAAGTTATGGTATATGAATATAATGGACCACTACTGTCCTATAAGAAATGAAGAGCAGGTGAATTTCAGAAAAACCTGGAAAGACTCACATGACCTGATGCTAAGTGAAGTGAGCAGGACCAGGAGAATATTATACACAGTAACAGCAACATTGTGTGATGATCAACTATGACAGACTTAGCTCTTCTTAGCAATACAATGATCTGAGACAATTCCAAAAGACTCATGCTAGAAAATGTTATGCACATTCAGAAAAAGAACTATGTAGTCTGAATGCAGATCAAAGCACACTATTTTCACTTTTTTCTTTTTCGTGGTTTTTCCCTTTTGTTACGTGTGGAAATGTGTTTAATATGATTGTACATGTATATCCTATGTCAGATTGCTTGCCATCTTGGGGAGGGAAGGGAAAAAAATCTAGAATGCAAAATCTTATAAAAGTGAGTCGAAAACAAAAAAAAATGTTTATGACTGATTGATTAAAAAAGAGAGAGAGAGAGAGACACAGAGAGAATAGTCTGGTGATACCTATCCAACATATGCCAGAGGATGGATTTGAACTCAGGTCTTCCTAACTTCAAAACCACCCTCTACTGAATACTGGTAAGACACTGAATATAAGGGGGGTGGGGGGAAGGCAGGAAAATACAGCAGAAAGACACTGGACTTGGAAAGGGGTTAGACAACTTGGGATAGAGTCCTGAGTCTGACTCTTAGTAGCTTTGTGGTCTTGGACAAGTCTCTTAACTCAGGTTTTTCATTCAATTGTAAAACAGAGCTATTTTTGTACCATCTACCTTACAGGGTTGCAGTGAGAAAAACTTTTAAAGTCCCAGAGAAATGCAGGCCATTTTTTGGGGGGGCAATTTGGGTTAAGTGACTTGCCCAGGGTCACACAGGTAGTAAGTGTCAAGTGTTTAGTCTGAGGCTGGATTTGAACTCAGGTCCTCCTGACTTCAGGGCTGGTGCTCACTGCGCCACCTAGCTACCCCCAGGCTATTTTTATTTTTCTGAATTTGAGAGGTAAATTTCCATTTCTGGAGAATGGCCTTGGCCCTCATCCATTCTATAAAAATGGCATCTTTCTAATTTAAGTAGATAATAATAAAAGTAATAATAATGGCTAGTATTTATATCATGCTGGGTTTGCAAAGCACTTTAAAAATATTGTTTCATAATATGCTTAATAGGAATGTAAAGGTAGAGCCTCTATCAGATTATAAGACTTCTTGGAGAGAAGCTTATGGAAAGCTTATGGAAGAGAATACTGAAAACTATAAATAAATAATTCTAAAAAGATTTGGTTAAGCTCAACTTGATTAATAAAAATAATGTTCTCTATGATTGTATTGAAAAAAATATTATTTCATTTAATCCTCACAGCAACCTTGGGAGGCAGGTACTATTATTATCCCAATTTTATAGATGAGGAAACTGAGGCAGGCACAGGTTAAAGGATTGGTGAAGGGTCAGTCATACATATAGTAAGTGTCTGAGGCCAGACTTGTATTTGGGTCTTACTGATTCCATGTCAGCAATCCATCCCCTTCACCCCCTAGTTGCCACTTAGATAAAAAGACACATCTGGTTTTGAAAGTTGTATAATAAAAGCAAAACTCTTGCCATAATGATGTGAATATACACAGATTCCGAAATTACGGAGAAAGAAACCCAACAACTGTGATTTTTACCTGGTGGGTGAAAAAAAAACCAAAAAACACCACCACCAAACTTACAGAAGTATTCCAAATTAAACTGAATACTTCTGGTTTAGCTGTACATTAATAACAAAGGACTAACTAACAGCCAGTCAATGTTCCAAAATGACTACATAGCAATTAGGTCCAATACATACAAAGTAGATGGGGAGAGGGCCTTACCTCTGTAATATATTGCCATGCCGAGGCTACGTGTAAATTCACAATATTCAAAATGGAAATAAAAATTATCTTATTTACTCTGTGTGATGTGGAACCACCTCCTCTTGAAAGAACTTTCGGACACTTTCCCTGAAAATATCATGGTCTGAAGAGAAGATTCTTCGAATGCCGACATCTGTGAGGCTTTTGGCAGAAGAACTTTCCAGCCGACCTTCCCCTCCTGCATGTGAGGACCTAAAAAAACAAATGAGTAAATTGGCTTTAAATAGTCTGTCACTTTATCCCCAGCAGGCTACTGTTTTCCATGACTCCATGAAACAATGAAAAGTTATGAATTTTCAAGAGAGACATTTCAGGACCAGAAAGATAATGTGTTAGATACCTGCCTGGGCTTAAAATGACAACAGTAATAATAAAATGATGATGATAATAACAACAATAACTAGCATTTATAATGTGACTGAAGGTTTGCAAATCACTTTACATATGCTATCTCATTTGATCCTTACAACAATACTGAGGTAGGTGCTATTGTTATCCCCATTTGATAGATGAGAAAACTGAGACCAACAGCGGTTAAGCAACATGCCTAGAGAGGATGATTCTATTTGAACAATGAGTGAATTCCAGAACCACAATTTTCAAAAACTTATTAACTGAACAGAATTGACCTCATAATAAGAAATTATTGCTATTTATTATTATTAATTCTGTCTAATGGAATCTTATAAAAAAGATGAGAATGAAATAATACATCACATTTACCTAGAAACTCTCAGGAAGCACTTTAGGAAAGGTCCCTGGGAAAGAACTGTGAATAACAACTACTATACACCATTCTTCAATCCTGGTGAATTCTAATTTGAATCTTAAGACTGCCAACTGTTAAAATTAATTATCTGAAATAAAAAGAAACTGAAGACCAAGCACTTACAATTTAATTTGCAAAGTGAGCATTTGCATTATCAAACCAGGTCACTTACTCCTCAGAAGTCAGAGACAAGCAGAGATTTACAGAGCTGATTTTTATAACAGAAGAGAGGAACCAAAAAAAAAATACTGAAACATGTTTTGAACATAATTCAATCGGACAAGACAGATTACTTTATTAGTGTACCTCTCCTAGGCTTCCTAATCCAACAGTAACATCTAGGAGTCAAAGTGAGATTACCTCAGAATCCTTGCTCTTCAGGTGATGTCTTTGGTAACCAGCAAGCTCGATCGATGTTCCCAATGTACTTGCAGTTTGGAGTTAGCAGTCACTCCTACCCTCCCCTCATCTTCCAGCTGCCAACCTTAGAAGATTCCATTACTTAACTTAGACTTTAGCTCAAGAAAAAACGGAGCTTATCCACTAAGACTAGAAAAAAAATGCAAACTTTGGCTAACTCTCCTTTCTCCCACAGTCAGAACTTAACTCTCAGGCAACACCCCGTCCTTTTTCCAGCTGCTAGAAAGGGGAATAAAGCCTTTATAAAGAGTCTTATAATCCTGTGATTATTTTATTCCTACAAAAATACATGTCTTGGGACAGCTAGGTGGCACAGTGAATAGAGTGATGGGCCTGGAGTTAGGAGGACCTGAGTTTAAATCCGGCCTCAGACACATAAACCCTCATAAGCTCTGTGACTCTTGGCCAGTCACTTAACCCCACTTGCCTCGCCAAAAAACAAAAAAAGATATTCATCTTACTCTAAATTATCTGCCACTAAATGATACAGTCTTCTCAATCTAACCGCTAAATCTATAGGTCACCTAGTCTGGTTTATCAGTTGGGGCTAGCTTTTCCATAAAGAAGGGAGTTTAATCCTATAATCAAACAAAAAAAACCCAAAGTAATCAATACTAATTGATTTCCTTTTCACAATAGAGCCTTTCTATTGGATAGTGCATTCCTTCACTTTTTTTTTTAAGGTTATAATATCTCTTTAATGATCCATTCAAGAATTTTCCCAGGAATCAATGTCAAGCTCACTGGTCTACAGTTTTCTGACTCCCTCCTCCTTTAAAAAATCAGGACAATTGCCCTTCTCCAGTTTTATGGCATCTTTCCCATTTGCCATGATTATTCAAAGATCATTGACATTGACTCAACAATCCAATCTACCAGTTTTCTCAGGAGCTGAAATGTCAAGAGATCAGGTTAGATCAACACACAAGGACAGCACTTAAGAGCAGAAGCTGAAATGAGGAGCTGTGAGGCAGTCAACAGTGAGGTAACCAAACAATCAGAGAACAGGCTGACAAATGATCAGTACTTTTGACATGTTCAACATGTAACTCTGGTACGCAGTCATCCTTCTCTGCCAGGGTTGTGTGCAGTAGGTCTGCTTCTGTTCTTTCTTTCTTTTTGTTTTTATTTGTAGCAGTACTTTTTTTTAATTCTTTTTTTTTTTATTTTTAGTTTTCAACATTTACTTCCACAAGATTTTGAGTTCCAAATTTTCTCCCCATCTCACCCCTCCCCCCACTCCAAGATGGCATGCATTCTGAATACCCCTTCTCTTAATCTGCCTTCCCTTCTATCTCTCCCCCTCTTCTCTTATCCCCTTCCCCTTCAATTTTCCTGTAGGGCAGGATGGATTTCTGTACCCCATTTGCTGTATTTCTTATTTCCCAGTTGCATGTGAAAACATTTTTTTTAAACATGTGTTTTTAAAACTTTGGGTTCCAAATTTTCTCCCTTCCTCCCTCCCTACCCACCCTCATTGATAAGGCAAGCAACTAAATATAGGTTATATATGTGAAATTATGCAAAACACTTCCATAGTAGACACGCTGTGAAAAACTAACTCTATTTCCCTTAATCCTATCCCACCCCCCCATCTATCCTATTCTTTCTTTCGACCCTGTCCCTCCTCAGAAGTATCTGCTTCTGATTACCCCCTTTCCCAATCTGCTCTCCTCTCTATCATCCCCTACTCCCTTGTCTCCCCCCCCCCCCCCCGTTTTCCTGTAGGGTAAGACAGATTTCCATACCCAACTGAGTGTGTATGTTATACCCTCCTTAAGTCAAATCCAATGAGAATAAGATTCACTCATTTCCTCTCACCTTCCCCTGGTTCCCCTCCACTGTAAGAGCCTTTTCTTTTCTGTTTTTTTTTTGTGAGATAATTTACCCTGTTCTGCCTTTCCCATTCTCCTTCTCCTAGTATAATCCTCTCTCACCCCTTAATTTTATTCTCTAGATACGACCCCTTCATCTTCAACTCACCCTGTGTCCTCTATCTATCCATCTATCTATCTATCTATATTTATATACATACATATAATTTTTTCCCTCCAACTACCCCAATACTGACAAAGGTCTCATGAATTACAAATATCATTTTCCATGCAGGAATGTAAACAGTTCAACCTTAATAAGTCTCTTATGATTTCTTTCCTGTTTACCTCTTCATGTTCCACTTGACTCTTGTATTGGAAAGTCAAATTTTCTATTCAGCTCTGGTCTTTTCATCAAGAATGCTTGAAAGTCCTCTATTTCCCTGAATGACCATTTTTTCCCCTGAAGAATTATACTCAGTTTTGCTGGGTTGGTGATTCTTGGTTGTAATCCTATCTCCTTTGCCCTCTGGAATATTATATTCCATACCCTGCAGTCCCTTAATGTAGAA